TGAAAAGGACTCCTATATATAGGAGAAGGGAAAAACGTCCAAGAAGCCAAACCCTAAAAAAAACAATTACAAGGAATCCTACTCTAGAAAGGAAATAAAGTAACCTAACTAGGAACACATTTAGTACTTCTAGGAAAGCATTAAATGGTACTTAGGAGACCATAAATAGACTAAGGGAAATATTAATAACCTATATATAAATAAATAAATAAGGTAAATCCCAACTAGGAAAAGAATCTTGACAATCTTGGAAAGTTTGACTAGTCTTCTCTCAAAACTTGGGCAGAAAGCAACTCTTGTTGTGGCTGATTCTTGGACTCTTCTTGACCTTTTTTGCACGAAATTGGACCTTAAAATTCCTCATCTTGGGCTTGAATTTGGGCCACCAAATAATTGTAGCATTTGGACAATTCCTCTCCCTTGGGCTTGAGCTCTTCTTCCCCAATAAGAAACCTTTGGATCAGCGATTGAAGCCCATTGAGCTTATCATTGAACTCCTTGGTTTGAGATCTTGTTATGGGCCTCCTTGGAGTTTCTAAAGCGTCATCCTTGTCCTTCAATGGAGTAGAGCTTCCTTGGATGCTATCATATGCCTTCTCAATGTCTAGCTTGCACATAACTCCAGGGTCAGCCCCTCTGAGTCTAGTATCTACACATTCACTAGTAATAAGGGCAGCATCCATGATATGTCTGCCTTTTATGAATTCCATCTGATGTCTGTTAACCAGTTTGCTGATTACTTTCTTCAACCTCTCAGTTAGCAGCTTAGCTATAATTTTGTATACCCCACCTATCAAACTTATGGGTCTGAAGTTCCTAAGCTCAACTGCCTCTGTCTTCTTCGGGATAAGAGCCACAAAGGTGGCATTCAAGCTCTTCTCAAAGATCTGCTGATCATGAAAGTGTCTGATGGTATTCATGATATCTACCTTGAGCATCTCCCAAAAGTTCTGATAAAAGCTCATAGGAAACCCATTAGGGCTAGGGGCTTTGTCACTTGCACACAATTTGATTCCTTCTACCACTTCTTCTTCCTCAAACTGTCTTTGTAACCAATCCTTCTCCTCCAAACTGATGCTTTCAGTGCCTTGTAAGTTTAGACCAGGCCTCCAATTCTCAGTTTCTCTATATAGTTTCTGATAGAAATTAGTAATCTCTGCTTTGATCTCATCAGTATCAGTCAACTTCTTGCCATTTACTTCCAATTTTTCAATTGAGTTTATTCTTTTGTGTGTTGTGGCCATCCTGTGGAAGTACTTTGTGTTCTTGTCTCCATGTTTGAGCCATTGAATTCTTGACCTTTGTCTCCAAGCTATCTCCTCATTCCTGGAAGCTTCATCAAACTCCATAGATAGATGAACTTTTTGAAGGAGTTCATCATCAGTCAATATTCTCTGCTCTTGTATCTTTTCCAGACCAGCAATTTGATTATCTCTTCCTTATTTTGTTTCCAGTTGACTCTGCTCTCATAGCCCCATTGTTTCAACTTCCCTTTCAGTAACTTCAATTTGGAAGCTAAGATAAAAGAGGGGGTCCCATTTACTGAGAAGGAGCACCACCAATCGTTTACCTTCTCCCTGAAACCTTCTACTTGCATCCACCATTGTTCAAACTTGAAATAAGATTTCTTCAAGTTTAGCTTCCCACAAGTTAGCATTACTGGATTGTGGTCAGACTCTAAGCTTGGTAGAAGACTTTGTCTAATTTGTGAGAAAAAGTCGTCCCAATGATGAGAGTTATCCAATCTGGAAGCAGTCGAATGGTTTTCACCCTTTCTCCAGGTGTACAATCCTCCAAATAAAGGAGGGTCAATTAGCTCCATTTCATTTATCCAATCTGTGAAGTCAGACATAGCCCCTGTTAACCTCTGTCCAGTTGATCTTTCCATGGGATATCTTGTCACATTGAAATCCCCACAAAACAACCAAGGACCTGTGCATGTGTTCTTTAGATTGATTTGATCCCTCCACAATTCCCTTCTGATAACTTCGTTACAATCAGCATAAATTGAACTAAAGAGCCAACTTAAGTTCGTATAATGCCTTCAAATCTACATGTGACTACTTGCCCAGAAGCCTCCACCGGTTCACCTTTCCACATTCTCCTGTCCCATAACACTGTTATACCCCCACTTCTCCCCACAGCCTCTAGATGTAATTCTCCCAGCCATCTGTTGAACCACAATTGTTTGATCAATTGTGTATCTTCTCCTGTCAATTTTGTTTCCACTAGCACGTATATATCTGCATCCCATTGTTGAAGTAGACTCCGAATTAATCTCCTTTTATTCTCATTGTTTGCCCCCCTAACATTCCATGTTACAACTTTAAATATTGATCACTTGAAGTTGTTATTCTCCCCCTGCTTCTCGGTTCACCATCTTTAAAATTCACATTAAAAGCTAAATTCCTCACTTCCCTTGGGATGTTATTGGAGTTATTGTCATTTATGTGTTTCTCCATATTTTGCTTGAAGAATTCTCTCTTTTGATCAATTTTCAGAAATAAATTCAAAAGCAGTCTTATCGCATCCTTCAAAGGCAGCACCAAATAATCTGCTAAGTTTAAGGACATTCGCTTGCACCCATAAAGAAGCTCTGTCATCAATGGCTTTCTCTGACAGAGAATCATCACTTCAATAGGAAGAGGCTCGTCCAGAATTACCAATTGGTCCTTGGAGGGTTCTCCTGTGTAAACGTCTTGATCATCCCTTGTGTTCACCCTTTTCTCGCAATCTAAGGGAAGTATTGTCTCCTCCGCATACTCTGAAGGATCAATTGACGCTGCATGTCGATGATTTCAATTGTGATGTTGTTCGGTGGATTCTGAGTCGCTATCATGAGTTCTTCAAGCTCTGTAGAATATGTCATGAAATTCTCCGTATAGGCTCTGCTCTTGAAAATATCCTCAATAAAAGGTTCTGTAAAATAGGCCAGTGTAGCTTTTGGGCCTAAGTTAGTGGGCCTAGCCCCACTACACGTTGAACAAGATATAAATCGACCCGGACTCTCTACCAGGGCCTCCACATGCCTTTTTCCTGATAAATTTTCTCAAGTCTCGTGCCCACTTTTATCCAGCGGTACAAGACCCCCATCATGGTTGACTTGTGGACAAAAGCTTTCTTTGCCTTTCCTTAATCTCTTCCATCATTGTCGTAAGAGTCCCCTCTACAGAGAACTTTCCCCAGATGTCAAACCTCTGACATATCGATCAGAGTGCTTCTCCCTTTTCTTTTTTTTGAATCTTGCCGGAGCTTCACACCATACCGGTAGCAGAAAAATGCCTACTCCATCTTCAATCTCGATTTCCATCGGAATTTTCTCCCTAGGACCCTTAACCCTAATTTGAGCCCATCGGAGATGGTTTTTTAGAGTGGTTTCCTCCTCTGTCTCCAACCGCCCCCCACATTGGTCATCAATTTGTTTCATCACCTTGTCTGTCCAGAGATGTAGAGGGAGACCGAACCCAAAACCAATCAAACTTGAAGTCAGCTTACGTCGTTCCTGCTTTGGGAGACTACTATTCCATCTGTAGATGGTGATTCTTTCTTCTCCACTTCCCCATAACAATATTCTCTGCTTCCTTTCTTGACTGGAACCCGAAAAGAAACTGAATACCATTCATGTCGTAAATGTTGACATTATGGATGCCTTTCCACGTTTGAATAGCCCACTTTCTGATTTCGTTCCATGAGGGAATTTCGTCATCCTCTGGGAAGCTTCCCATCAGACATCTGCTAAAGGACCCCTTCTTCTTCAAAGAGTGTCTCCTTCTGATTTTCTGCTCTCCTATCAGATATGGCCCCCCATTTGCACATTTGAATAACCTCCTTGTAACTTTCCTCTCCCCTGAGCCTCATAAACGTAGAATTCCCCTGTTTTTCAGTACCATGTCCTGCCTCCTTAATGATGAAGCTTTCAATTTTTTTGGATAGGCCACTCCTACCCTCATTAAAGATGTTTTCTGGCAGAATAATCACCGAAAGTTCATGACCATTAACCACAATGATTGAGATGAACCTGCTGTATTTATTGAACTTCAATGAGCAATAAATGTAGGTAGAAATGTTCTTGCATCTCCAAGTCTTAAATGACTTGCCTTTAATGCAAGAAGCCTCCCCTAGCCTTTTGCATATCCATAATAAAGCATCCCTGCTCAGTTTCATTCTCCTCATGTGTAGTTTCACACTCTCCACCCACTCAAACCAATTTCCTTTCGTGTTTCTAGACTCGGTAATATCGTATGATTTGACCCCAAGTCTGAAATATATTTTGTTATCCATGGGAACGAAAGAATAAGGAAGAAAAAAAAAAAAGGGTTTTCCTGTAAAGGAGGTTCAACGGATTATGGCTTCCTAAGGACCGGAAGGGTGCCTAGGAAATTGTCTTGGGATAAGTGCCTGAGTTTTTAAAAGATTTTTTAGTTTCATATATATTTTGTTCCTGCGCTGAAGTTTATATCATTTTGTTCATGCAATTTTTCCCATTTTGTTTCACTCCCTTCCAGTCATTTCTTTGAGTATAGGGAGTAAGTTCTGGGAAAAGAACAGGTCTGCTTAAGCTTTGGAGTCGAGATGCTTAGATCTATGTTACCAAATAGGTGAAATTCTTTAGTTTGCAGAATGGAAACAATGTTGACATTCACTACATACATGGAATGCAGATTCCTTGGAATAGACTATTTTAGGTCATATAATCAATAGACTTTAAGAAACTATAAAAAAGCTAATTTCTTAAGTTGTAGAAGCTTCAGAAGATTGACATAGTAAAAATAATGTAAAATACTAATAATATATATTAGGATTGTATTTTTATTGAATTGAGTTGAAAAAGCTGATGGTGATGGTTCTAACTCACAATTGAGGTTGTTGTAACATTGCATTCTAACCTCGCTTTCATCTTGTCTGTTGGCACTATATTTCTGGACTGATCTATTCACCTTTAATACATCATAGACTTGATCATATCTAGGGTACAAACTGATGAAATTGCATTTGTACAGGGTATTGACAGTTCATGGGTCTGCGGATGAAATTATTCCAGTGGAGGATGCTTTAGAGTTCGATAAAATCATACCAAACCACAAATTGCATATCATCGAAGGAGCCAATCATTGCTATACATCACACCAAGCTGAGTTAACTCCTGTGATCTTGCCATTCATAAAGGAAGGTCTGCAACACTCAGCAGCAGAACTAGGACACTAGATAGGTACTTTGGAATGCTACTATTGTTGAAATTCTGGGTTTAGGTAACTATGGGAACAGTCTGTTACAATCTACCTTGTGCAAATGAAACTACTGGCAGGGTTTTAGAACTAGTCTGTGTAATTCAAAATTTGCTTCGCCTCATACTGGTCATCACTACAAAGGGATTCTTCATACTAGATGTTGAACTTCAGCAGATTCGGTATGAAATGAACATTTGTTGCACTTCAACGACATTTGGATTTGTATCTTGAGCTTGTAAAATAAAGGATTGTTCAACTGCAGGCCCCCACATTTTACCTTTTCTTTGTTGACTGTTTCTCATTTCAAATTTATTACAATAATACTTGTTTCACTTTTTATGACAGTATTTGAACCAACATAGAGTTGGAACTTGTTTATTTAACTACACGGTATATTAGTGAAAATGCCAAAATACAGTTGAAATGTCATATGACTCGAACAACTCCAGATTAGTTGCTCAGTCCAAAACTCTTACCACTAAGAACACCTTCCTTAAACAAAAATAATACGTACTTTCTTTTGTAGTGAATAAATTGGTTACTTGGATTTTTCCTCTACTCTCAACTACCTTATTCACTACGCCATCCTCACTAGTTTCACACACAACACTTTTCCTTACTTAGGATATACAAAAAGAATGGAAGAAACACCACTATTTATAAATGTAGGAAATTCTTCCATAGATTAAATATCAATATAGTGAGATAATAATATTAGAGAACATTGGTTGGTGGTTGTAAAATTTGATTTTGAGTGGATAATTAGTTGTAAATCGTGACATTAGTAGTTACAGGAGTTATACCAAAAATATAATTACCACTTTCTTACTAATTTATACCCACTAAATCATAGACTTTTAATATTAAAATGCACATAACTCCAGCACGGTATATTAGTGATACCAGAAGAATATATTGAAGTTTAAAATCTAAATGGTTAATTGAATTTGAATTTTTGAAAGTAATGGAAGTCATATAAACATAGAAAATTGTCAAATGTTTTGAAATGGATGTAACAAAAATTGGAATAGTAGTAAGAACAACAAAATCAATAACAAATTTTACTTTCAAGCTTACAACATTATTCACATTTCAGGATTGTTGTACTGTACACAGCAGGTAAGAATATCTAATCTACACAAGACAAGCTCTTGCAAGAAATCAGTGGGCAGACAAAACAACAAGTTGTCTGTCAGGCGTGAGCACAGGACGAGCTCACATTCGAAAATTAGTAGATACCATCAGGTATTATGCGACTCGCAGCTAAAAAAGGAACTGCAAAATTCACACATGACAACATATCATTTGGTGATGCCATCGAAAATACATGTTTATGTAATGAGACATCAACATGAATATTCACCTCGACTCTACTCTATACTCTAGTGCCTCCGAAGGTACAACTTCGCTTCACCCTGGATGGAAGAAACATTGTTAGTCAGGAGAAACAACCCACAAAATTATACTTTATACTTAAATGATAAGTTGGAACCCTGTTGGAGGTCACAGTTAGCTAAAGAGTGTCTAATAAACTAGCACAAAGGGAACCCGCAACGGGTGACCATGTAGGTTGAACAAGGGGTCTCAAGTTTGAGACCCCATACATGCTTTCTCGGTCGAGCTCATCGCATGGGGCTTACTAGTGTGGTTTACCTCTCCTATGTATTTGTGGGCAATTATACTGGAGCGAGGTTTATCTATGCGCACCCGAAGGGTAGCGCGGCTGTGGATTCCCTAGTCATAAAAAACAAAAAAAAAAAAAAAAAAAAAAACTAGCATAAAGAAAAGGTTAAGGTGAAATAGAAAACTATACTCATCGGAAAGTAGGAAATGATTGTTCACATAGCAGAGCATGCAAAAGAAACACTTCACAGAGCAATAAATGAAAGCGCCATAACTCATCATACGTTGCTATGAAATAAATGAACAATGTACTCATTCTAGTTCTCACTTCAAACACAAAAATGAAACTAGCCAGTCCCCAGTTTATTGTGTAACAGCACTTACTAGACAGGTCAAATTTCACCAGCAGATCCTTTTCCTTTTTAATCGTTAACCAACAGATCCTTTTCTTTTTTGTGGAATGAGTGACAAATGATTTCACAAACAGATTCTTCATTGGAGGATTTTCTGCACCTGAATAATATAGATGGATATGATGTTTACTCACACTGAAAACAAAATTTAGCAATCAACCAGCAATACCAATAACAGAGTGTGCAAGGAAACATTTTCCACTTCAGATGTGCTGACACAATATGTCCATATCTTACCTGCAGCCTCGGTTGAGCAACAATGCAACACCATCTTTAAAAGCATTCGACTATTACTAGTTCTGATCCTCCGCATCGAATTGCTGCAAATGGATCAAAATTCAATATTGGTGCAGTGCTAATTAAGAATACAAATGGCCTGTTACAGTAATATAAGCGACACAATTCATGAAATATTTCCAAATATAGTCTAAACTGAATAGAGCGAAATGGATTCAGATGATTCATATAGCCGGCCTGAGCTAATTTGCGATTGAGATGTATCAATATTGATCAGGTCTAAAGAGGAGATCAGGATAAATTCTTTTCCAACATGGACGAATAAACATTTTCTAAAAACCAGAATATTAAAGCAGACCAAGTGATTTGAATAGGGAACATTCACCATGGAAGTAATTTAATTCAGTATGATGTCCTCCACTGCCAACCGAGTACCACTTGCATAAATTTTGGAAAACCTGCACTTTGACCCATAACTATGCAGGCTTTTTATGAGTTTGTAGTGTGTTTTCCAGTTTCAGGAAACAAAGAGGGCTGAGGGGTGGGGAAGATCAATTAGTGGTTTCGATCTCCCTTGCCTACCTGCTGCAAGTGGATCAACATTTCATACTGGTCCAGGGTATTGATTCAAGAAAATTTTCCTACTACAGGCCTCTTTATAGAAAAGGGTTCAGCCAGTTCGAAAGTTAAGTCAGTCAGCCAGTTCGAAAGTGAAGATTATTCTAGTTTAAGAATGGATCAGTAATAGCAACTATCACTGGGGCACCCACACATTCTACAACTATTTGAATCAATAAAAGTACCAATGACTGGCCCACTTCCATAAATTACACAGCAGAGGTTCAATGCATTCCTAAGAATGTCAAAACCTCAAGGTTTCTCGTGTATCAGTGTCTTTTTTCTGTGTCATTTTCTACTCTACTTGGAAAGAGGTGTTGTTATGGTCCCCTTCTATGGATCTAGTTATGGGACACTGCAAGATAAAATCTGAAGTTTTCTCTTTTCTACCTATGGTGTTGGTTCGTTAAGAGAGAACCTCCAATCTCTTGAGTTTGAAGTACTGAAAACTTGACTAATATTCTGCCTATCATTTCACTGAATGCAAATAACACAAAATACAACACTAGTGGATTAACCACCCATCTAAAAACAAGGAAGTAACTTCCTACTACAATTGAAATTAGAAAAGAGGAGGAATTACCTCCTTACTGCAACAACTGCTTCATAGAAATAGGAAAAATAATAACTAAAGAGCTGTAATAATCTACTGCAAACACTGCTATACAGATATAAAAAATAAATAACTTATAAGCTGAAGTAATCTACTTTCTAATTTCCTTAAATCTTCCATCTGTAAATCATTGGTAGACTAAAAGGGTGCTAACAGGTGTCCCTCTGTTGAGCCTCCTCTTACCTCTTACAGTGTTACTGTCTTTTTGCTTTGTCATTCCCTACTCTACTTTCAAAAGAGTACTATAGACCCTCTTATTACCTTTTCCATATCATCCTCATCATCAGATGCATCTAATCTCGAGAATAAGGTCTCCTCATCAATCTCCTCAACCATGTTCGTATCTTCCTGCAGATTTTCAGAAGGGCAAAATAAAAATGAAAGCAAGAGGTGATTTGCAAGTTTAATGGTTTCAAAAATTTATTTCCAAAAGAACAGGAATTTCATACTAGCTCAGACTTCAAGTTTTGAATCTTATCCTGCAACGCTGTTATGTGATGCTTAAGTGCCTGGAAGAATTTTTAGCAGACATCCATGAGGTGAATAATCTCAAGATATCAGACACATAGAAACACATCTATCTGTGAAAGAAAAATGATATAAGAATATATTACCTCACGTCTTTGAAGTTCAATTGAACGGGCCAATGCTTGTCTCTTAGTCAGAAGATTTTTGGGCCTGAATTCATTAGGACGCTGGTAATTTTTCCCACGATAGAGTATAATTGCATAGCCTTGGGTAGTCTTATCTATAGATACCAAAAGGCCACCACTTTCAGCCTCAAGAGTAATTGCAATGTGTTTTATTTGTGCTGTATTCCTCCTCTCCGCAATGATCTTTACAAGCTCCCGATATTTCCAATGTAAATGTATATTCTCTATAGTTCCATCAAAAACATCTCGCCTCCCTGAACCGAAATGTAGAAGTTATGACTAATGAGCTCTATCCTGATAGGAACTATCAGATTGAACAAGTAGCACCGCTTACCTAGAAGAAGAAAAGGTTTCATGCTAAGACCCATTTTGCGGAAAAGAAACCTTTCCTCAGCAGATAATATTTCCAAATCAGTAGGCAGCTCAGATGGTTCCCGATTTTCCTGCAATTTACGTAACATATTTTCTGCCTTTTTGACCTTGCCTTTTGCCTGCAGATACCAGTCTAATATTATACATAACAAATAGGGAGAAAGATCCATTTGCACAACTTTTTTCTCAGTTTTATTTACAAAAACTTACAAGGGCTAGCTTCTCTTCAAGATACTTCACCAGAGAAGCATGCCTTGCTACAGCTGCATCTCTCATCATTTTCTCCCTCTCTTCAATACTAGGTTGGTTTCCCCAGCGTGAAGTGGCTGCCATAGTTTCAGAAAGTGTTCCAGCAACCAATGGTCTTTTAGGAGCTCTAGTATCAGAATCAATAGAGGTTACTGCTCTTTGCCGTGCTTGTTCTTCTTGATCCTGCAAGAAATCACTTTTTCTCTCTGCTTCTTCAAGCGCTTCTGTGACACGAGGTGGCAAGAAATCATTACCCCTGTAAAAGACAATATAATCCTTATTCCTGGAGAGTAGTGTTCCTCCGGTCAATACCTGTTGAACAAAGAAGATCTATTGTTGGATTGATTTAAACTTTTACTAAAACATACTTGATAAAGAAACAAGTTTGAGAGTCGCAATGGAACATGCAACTCATGTACTCAACTGAAAATTTTGACTAAAAGATTATGGAGTACACCACAATACATATTCCAAAAACAAAATCAAGAAAATGATACCTTGCTAAAGCAGCTAACAATGTAATGGCTTGGAAATCTAAGTGCCAGAATGATGTTCAAGTTCAAACAAAAGACAGGGAAATCTAACTTTTTGTCATAATCGTTTTTCTACTTATACTTCCGTCTTCTTTTCCTTCTTTTCAACACTTGCTAGTTCGCTTGTACTTATCATACAGTCTTAACTCTCTAAGAATATTTGTAGCGAGCTTTATCCATTCACCTTAAGTTCTTCTGACATTCTTTCATTGCTTGTATTTAGCACACCACGTTTTATGGCTATCTTGGCAATAGCGCTTCTTCTCCAGAGCTTCACCATGGCTGCAGCTAAACCTTGCAGTTGTCTGTTCCTTCCTGAATGAAGCATACAATAGTTTGGAGGTTAAAAAAAATTAAGTTACTGATTCTTCAATAAGATAACAAGGAAACATTAGAACTCCTTTCCACATACCTAAAGCAAAATGAGGGGGCATAATTCTCGCAGTTCTGCGTAGGTATGTCATTTCTTTATTTTTTAGGTTAAGTTTAGCTCCATAAGGAAGACGGCGAAAAGGAGGTCTATATCCAGGAACAACAGCAGGCAACAGATCAGCATCAACAGGCAGTGGTTCACGACCCGACCAATCTTTAAATCGTGGACCAACTTCATCCAAAATCATGTTGAGCTCGCTTAAATCCACTATTTCTTCACTAGACAGCTCAGTGGAACCATTTCTTGGCCTTTCAGCAGCTTCATTTAAGCATTTGACTCCAAGGCTTTGACAACTATCATTGTTTGGATACTCTGATTCATCAACATCATGGTTTTTTGAAGTAAATGATTGTACACAAGGAAGCTTGTATGATATTCCTCTGTATAGCACTATGGAACTGCCTGATCTCCAAATCACCAATCCTCCCGTTCTATGCTAACAATGTGCAAAGTATAATACACATAAGAATTCACAATGATAACAATCTACAAAACTGGAAAATATAACTGTATATGGACAACATATTAGGACTAAAAACTTCAAAGTTGACATATTCTGAGAAGAGATGTTTTTAACAATCTCGGTTGCATTTGCGAAAGGTTTTACAAGAATGAAGAGAAATGTATGTACCTCTAGAATGTCATGTGTCCTCTTCATATTATGTGAAGGAGGACCTTCAAATCTCAATTTAACAATCTCATCCACTTTCCACTTGTCCTGAATGGAGTCCACAAGTTCCTGTGTTACACCACCTGACCCAACCTTTATTCTCTCCACCATCCTCAAAGCTGCATTCCTAAGCCTCTTCAGTTGAGCCTCAGGTATCAATTTCTCTGCCAATTCTGCATTATTTTTTCTCAACTTGTCACCTTCCCATGGCAGTCTTACTGAATCTTTAGCATTAGTAATACCCTTGTCAACACGGGCTTCAGCCTTTGATTCCAATTTGATATCTTTTTCAAAATCTTGCTGCTGTGGTGACCTCAAAGGGGCACAATCAAAATTTACTTGTTTATTTAAAGATTTTTGCTCCTCCCTAATTGACCCAATATCTTCAGAATTCTCAAGAGATTTACCAACACTGCTGCTTTCACCAACCTGAGATATTTTGGGTTGTTTTCCATGAACCCAAGGAGCTAAATTAACCTTAACTCTTGAACCAGAACTTACTGACTCATTTACTACTGGATTTTCTAACTCAGAAAACTGGACTTGTCGTTCTACAACTTCTTCTACTGATACTGAATTGCCTTCTTGCCAAGGGAATTTCTCCCTCAATGAAGTGGGTTTTACGGACCATTTATCTTGAACTTGTTTAACAAAGCTTGGTCTGGGTTTCCTCTGCTTCTTTATCTCATTGATTTGCTTGTCTTTGTTCGAATGAATTGTTTGGGGAGAAGAACAATAAACTCTTACTAAATTTTTAGCTCTACAGCTGTGCCAAGCTTGAATTTTGGGTAAGGGAATTGAAAATTGAAGCTGCTTCGAAGAAATGTAATCAAACGACAATGGCGTAGACGCCATAGCGGCCATGAACAAACTGTATATTCTTGAATTCTTATCGCCAAGTCGCCATAGCTTGAACACACCAAAAATATTAATGTTAAATGAGCATTTGTTGCCCAATGTGGTAATTTTAATTTTTTTTTTTTTGTAAAGATACGATCTGCATATAAAAAAAAAAGGCAAAGAGTCAAATATGCTCCTAAACTATTCGAAAAGGTTTAGATATATTCTTCGTTTAAAGTTTGGCTCACTCGTGCCCTCGTCGTCCAACTTTTCGTCTAGATATGCCCTTATGACGTTAGTTGGCCTACTGAACATATCCAACTCATTTTCCATTTCTTTAAATGTCACATGGAATTGTCATGTCATTTTGACTTTACCACATGACATTTATATGAAAAATGGAAAATGATCAATTATGCGCCTAAAAAATTCAAACCCATAAACATCTAATCCGACCCATAAATCAACCCCTTCTAAATAAACTACCCGATCCGTTTAAACGGAGGGTATATCTAGACCTTTTCGAATAGTTTAGGGACATAATTTGACCATTTACCCTAAAAAGATAAAGGGGGGGAAGAGTCAAAAATACCCCTCAACTTTGGTTTGTTAGTTGATTATGCCCTTATCGTTAAAATGAAGTTATTCTTATCCTTACCGTTAATAAACTTATTGTTCATGCCCCTCTGTGGACAGAAATCCCCAAATCAATCAAATTTGACCCGATTTCTTAAAAATGACCCATTCCAATTTAAAATCCATGCCCAATCCATCTATCTATCTAGGGCTGGGCATAATATGGCTAAAACCCAAAAAACTGACCAAACCAATTTTTTTTAAAATTTCGGTTTGGGTTTTTCAATTATTTCGGTTTCAAATTTCAATATTTCAGTTTTTCAATTATTTCGGTCGGTTTCGATTTCAAATTTCAATATTTCAGTTTTTCGGTTTCGATTTCAAATTCAAAAGGAATGAGTAATAAATAGCTCATTCAATGACATATTTATTATTTAAAAGAAGTACTCCTTTTAGTTGAAAGCTAACAAGATAGTTACAATGTAACTAAATACTATAAAAATCTTTGCATTGTGGCTTATTATATATATATATATATAAATGGGCCCAAATGCGGTAGGTAATTAATAGTGTTAAATTGTCCAATAATATAAATTTTAAAGGTACAACCATAAAAGAAGAATGTACAACACTATCTAAGCACATATCATCCAACACTTATCATGTGCTAAGTAGTAGATATTCCCACTTATTATATATAGTAATATATTCTTTACACCCCTTAATTAAATTACTTCAGCGGTTCAGCCCATGCCCAACCGGCCCATAGCCCACAACCCATATCCAAATTCCAATCAGAAATCCCTGAACTAATAATTTGAAATCCCTAACACAGTAACTCGAACTCCCATCTCTCAACTCTTGTCAGTCGTCTCAGATACACCGTAGCTCGTCTCTCAATTCTCATCTCTCATCTCTCAGCTCGTCGTCTGTCGTCTCTTAAGTCTCAGGCCAGCCGCTGCTCACTGCTCAGTCCTTACTGACTACTGAGTGCTCGCAGCCCGCAACTGCTCAGTGCTCGGCTGTTCGCGACTCGCGCCTCGAAGGTCAGTGCTTATCGCCTCCATTCCTTCGTTTGTGGGGATTGTGCTTTCTGTGTTTGTTTTCACATTCCCCGCGGGTTCATCAATTAACATATCCTCATTTAGGTTTGTCCTTGAGTTCTATTTTCTCGCAGGCACATTAATGTTTTGTTATTTTCTTGGTTGCTATCTGTTGGAACTTGGGAGCTATTGCATTGGAGGTTGCAACAATGTTTTGTTGGTTTTCTAAATGTTTTGGTTGCTGCAAATTGCTATGCTGCCTACTTGCAATTGGACTTTAGTTTGTAACTAACTCTATTTTAGGGCTGTGCACAAGTTTGTTGAATTTCTAGTGTTGTTGTCTTGACTATTGATAGTCTTTTTATTCTTATACTCGACTAGTTTGTTAATGTTGCTGCCTGCTGGACTGCTTGGACAAGAATTATCAGTTTTGTTTGGTTATTTTAGTCAATGATATGATAAGTTGCAAGTTAAATGTTTGTTGAAATTTGTAGGCAAAAACCAAATTGTATGACATAGATTGTTGGAGTCTGGAGAGTATTGTTGAGTGTTGATTGTTATAGAAGTTAATGTTGATTGTTGTATTATTTGAACAACAACACACGGCCACAACCCACAGGCCACTGCTAATTAAATTTGGTTAAATTGAAAACCAAACCAAAATAAACCGAATCAAATCGAATTTATTTTAGTTTGGTTTGGTTTCACATTTTTGTCAAACCGAAAACCGAACCAAATCGACCGAACGCCCAACCCTAATCTTAACCCAAAATAAGTTAACCCATTTTCCAAACCCATTCTAAAAAAATCATTTGGAGCTACTGTGATGATAATTTTGGAATTGTGTTTCCCCGATTTTGCCGTGATTCTTCATTTGAACTTTATTTTTTCTTTATCAACAATGCAACAACAAAAAAAAAACTATAGGATAATAGAAAAATAAAACAAAACAATCGATCAATAAATTTTATTACAAGAAAATGAAGTTTTGCAGGTGCAATAATTTTATTGATCGAATTCAACATTAACAGGGAAGAAAGGGAGATATGGTGTGACGTGGCATCAAAGACATTGTCGAGCAGCACCTAAACACATAAAAATCGATCAGATCTGAGCACTTTTAGACAAGTACGATGGATCTATTAATGGAGGAAAGAGAAAAGGAAGAAATGCATCGTGGTAGATGGTTGGCCATGGCCGTTTCCATAGCTAACCATCGTCGCCGAAGCTAGCAACAGACAGTTGGAGAGAATCAATGACATATGGATTTTACCCAAATAATTACAACAAAAAACATAAACTAATAAAAGAAAATTCACAATCCCCACCCACCGTATTGTCTTCCTCAAATACCCTACCTATTTGCAGAAACATCTTCACACCCCGTCCTCCCCTATGATTTTCTTCTCCAAACTCTCCTATTCCTTTTAGCAGAAACATATGTGCACACACACCTACACAACGTTTCTTTTTTCATCATTTTAGTGTAACTATCTTTATTCACCATTGTTAGAATTTAAGTTTGCAGGGGAATCAGTGAGGTAGGTGTATGTGCTTCCCACAAAGATGTTTGCTTTTTGCGGTCATGAGGTGAGGCAGTGATATGAGAAAAAATTTAAAAAGGAAAAATAAAAAAAGTTTGTAGAAATGGAGGCTGAAGGGAAAGGGAAATGGATTAAATGTTTTTGGGTTAGGTTCTTAGAGGGGTCGGGGCATGGGTTTAAAATGAGAATGGGTCATTTTTTAAGAAAATCGGTCAATTTTGGTTGATTTGGGAATTTTCGTCCACAAAGGGGCACATATGATAAGTTTATTAACGGCGAGGGTAAGAATAACTTCATTTTAGCGGTAAGAGTATAATCAACTAATAAACCAAAGTTGAGAGGTATTTTTGATCCTTTTCCCTAAAAAAATTGTAATTAGTATTTTAAAATATATTTTTTGTAGTATAGGGAAAAAGGGTCATATTTGCCTTTATACTCTTAAAATGGGTTATATTTACCCTTCATTATACTTTTTGATTATATTTATCCCTACCATTCAACTTTGGATTCATATTTATTGTTTGAGTTGTTGAGTTTCACATCACCCCCGTTTATTATCCTACATGGCTCCTCATGACACCTACATGAATATAATCTTCTCTAATTTATTAATTATTATACCTCACCCCCAAATTAAAGCATGCATGCCGCATCAACAAAAGTGAAGGATCCAAGAGTTAAAGCCTTCATAGAAAATGTATTGCAGAAGCTTTTGAGCGGCTCCCTGCTAAGAAACTAGCTATTGGTTGACCCCTTTCTAATGAGGATTCTAGAAACGCAGGCTGATCTTTGAGCTTCAATTCATTCTGGTAACTATGTGATCACACCTTTTCTAAATTGTCCATTTATTATTGACTTTTGTGGGATCTTTACAAATATGAGTATTGATCAGTCTGATAGTAGAAGGACCCTTTGCCTGAAGTAGGCAGAGATTTCACGATGCAGGGCCAAAGGAAGGACCTAAATACAATATTTCTTAAACAGGTTACTGTTTTCTCCTTGTTTCTTTTGTTAAGCTTACGATGCATCGATCTATTAATTAGTTGTATAATAACATTTCCACTGTGGTATCATGTCATATTAGAAACATTCACTTCCCCTTTGATATTGAAGTTGATACGACGAATGCCATTGTTGGTGAAATGGTTGAAGAGCTGGTCCTGACAGATCAGGATGTTTCAGCAATAGCAAAAATGATTGATTTAGAAATTCGGTCATATATCCTAGATTGATGACTGATGAAGTTGCTTCTCATAAATGTACTTATGTAGTCGATCGGAGATAATGCTCCTCCCTTAACAATAATAATATTGGGGAATAATTAAATTAGAGAAGATTATATTCATGTAGGTGCCATGTAGGAGCCAAATGCATTTATCTACAGGTTTTTCACTTTTCATTCATTGAATGACTTGATTCCCAAAGGATGAAGGACCTGTTCTCGCTACTACTTACTATTACTACGTAAATAGTTTCTTTTAGCATTCGTCCTTCAAAGAGCTTTATTCGCCCCTTACTTAGCTTAGGAGTGGGGGAAACTGAACATCAATCAAATAAGTAGGTTTATTTCAGAGGAAGCTCTGTCTTATTGAATTTCTCCTTGAATTCCATCTGAAGCCAGAACTGCCAACCTTTCCTCTTTCTTTGAGAAAAGTGTAAAACCAAAAGGAGGTGATGTGGAACTTAACAGCTCAAAGGGTAAACATGAACACAAAGTTGAATGATAGGGGCTAATATAACCAAAAAGTATATCGAAGGATAAATATATCCTTTTTCTTAGAGTATAAGGGCAAATATGACCATTTTCCGTTTAATATATTGATATAAGAGATATTATAATTTATAGGATGTTTTTGTATTAATTCAAAATAGATAATTTCAATTTTAAAAATATTAAAATGAGTGTGACTATCGGAAAAC